ACCACTCTAGACAAGCTATTCAGGGTTGATTGTGCCGCCCCAATATTGTCGAAAAGCAAGACGATATCGTCCGCATAATCCAGATCAACTAACCTTTCATCAGGCAGCACTTCAACGCCTACATCATAAAATGCCGCAAGGAAACACTCCATGATAGAATCCACGACGAAATGAAACAAAAACGGGAAATCGGACAACCCTGACGAACGCCACTTGTGGTTGGAAAGCTATCCGATAGGACACCGTAAACCCTGACGCGGCCTGTAGTGTTGGAGTATAAAGCACGAAGGATGTTCACATATTTAGTGGGAACACATTTCCGCACAAGTATTTCGAACAAAAGCGATCGATCGACTGAATCGAACGCACTCTTGAAATCGAGGAACACAGCTATTGTCGGTCTGTGGTATGCGTGGCGCTGCTCCAACACCTGCCGCAAAGTGAATATATGGTCTATACAGCCACGTCCTGGGAGGACACCGACTTGCTCTCCCCTAATCCGAGATTCCAGTTCCGCAGTGAGGCGACGAACGATAATCGAGGCCAGTAATTTTGTCACAACTGGCGTTAGGCTAATACCCCTGTGGTTAAAACAGTCTGTGCGACTGCCCTTCTTGTATATTGCCACTTTAATCGATTCGCTCCAATTAGCCGGCACACCCTTCCAGATACGTTCGAATACGGAGGTCAGTGCCCTGCAGAGCACCTCACCTCCATCCTTAAATAGTGCAAGTGGGAGGAAATAAGGGCCAGCGGCACGAAAACGATTAAGGGCTGTGATCGCGTTTCGGATCTCGGCATCCGACGGAAGCTCTAAACTAACCGTCCATGGCACGTCCTGCTTCACCTGCGTAGGAAGAGGTCCGGGAGCAGGGGGCCAGCTGAACTGATCTTGAAAGCGTTCCACCCAAAGAACAATACGGAGCACCTTATTGTGTATCGGTGCACCTGCGCCGTCTCTGATTGTCTCACTGACGCCTGGTTTCCTGGGATCAGTGGTGCGGATAAGCTGGAAGAGCTTGCGGTAATTGCCTACTGCTCCTGCCTCCTCCATTTCTTGAGCCCGACTGGTCCACCAGGCTTCCTTGTCAGCACGCAGGCTCTCCTTTAGTTCACGCCTAATAGCCCGTCTGGTCACATTGTGTTCAGAACCAGCCCGGAGGTGTCTTCCAGTTTCCAACAGGTTCACCGACCTCTCGGATAACCAGTGACTGGTGCGGTGACGATTGATAGTGCCACAAGCAGATGCTTCTGCGTCGTGCATGGAGGCGTCATAAGGACAGAACTGCGGAAGTTCAGTATGCAGTGCGTCCTGATAGGCTTGCCTAACCGAGGACTGAGACAATTTCTCCGTTGCCAATCGTACGGGACGCTTGGTGCGCCTCCCGGTAAAGTTCATGGAGAAACGACAACGTACCAAGGCATGATCCGACACAAGTACTCCAGTACGAGCGGCAATCAAGGACGGAAGCATGCCATCAAAAAAAAAGGAGGAGGAAGAGGAAGGGGGGGGGGGAAAAAAAAAGGAAAGAGGGGAAAAAAAAAAGGGGGGAAGAAGGGGGGGGAAGGAGAAAAAAAGGGGAGTAAGGGAAAAGAGAAGGGAAGACTTGGGTGGCGCCTCCCGGTAAAGTTCATGGAAAACGAGACAACGACAAGGCATTCATCCGACACGATTGACTGCCTAAACGTATGACGAACAAACCGTAACTTATGCCCATGGTGATTCAGTTCTCTCTCTCTCACAGTCGCTAGGCTTAAGGACACTCAGAACTCGAGAGGTCACGACAAGTGATGCACGTATCGTCATTCGCACACTCTCTGTACAATCATAACGTCAGTGTGCAAACTCTTAGATGCAACTGGGTCCATACTCTTCGTGCGGGAGCATCAGTTCTATGCAGCGCTGGTGCAGCGCCCCTCACCAGGAACGGCCCCCCTGACGCTCCCGTAGTGGCTCACTTCGTGCTGCAGATTCACATGTGGCGCTAACGACACAATGTTGCACACAATATACACTCATAGGAGCATATTTGACTGAGATCTCTGTCACACACATGTTGCGTGCGTCTAGCTCTGTTTCAAAGTTCCAACTGCTCGGTGTCTCGACAAATAGTCTCAATAGTCTGATACTATTCTGACATCTATCTGTGTCGTCAGGCGAGTGTCGCAGATGTGCCTGTTCGTGATAACAGTAGATTCCATATAGACCTCGCTCTATTTACTCAATAGCTCGTGCAGTCGGCATGCCAATCGAATAACCATATGGAAAATATAACAATACGGATGTATTTGTGTTACATCAATATATGTGACACACGGATACTTGTACAATATTTAGCATAGACTGTAGCGTCTCCCCGTGCTGTAGCACTCAGCGCATGAATAATCGAGCTTCAGCTCTCAGATAACGCCAATTGTCCTTGACAGCATTAGAAACTGCAGTCGTGGGAGCATAAGCGGAAATCCAAACAAAGCACACCCAACATGATGTTGGTTTGCTCTCAATCTCCTTGATCTATTCGAATGTCTACACTTAGCCTTACTTGTCTTGTACATAAGATCAGGTCTTACTCTGTAGCACACTACATCGGGAAAAACAACAGGTTTGTCTCCTCTGTGCATGCGCTCTCGATGACACCACACAACGATCAGGTTAATAGTGCCATGGTGTGCATCGTCCTTGTGGTGCTGGTGTCCCAGATATGAGTGCTCTGCTCTCAATCTCGTATCCTAGGTCTCCTGGATTCGAACCCGTACAGACTAGTCTCAGGGTGCATCGAGACAAGTGACCAGTCTCTCCGAGAGTGTGCTGTGTCGCAAGTGCTCTCGGCCTCTGACGCTGAGCTGTGCTACTAACAGTCTCCAACGTGTGGTCGCAACGCATCTCGGTGATATCACACAACGGGCAGTCTCTCGGTGTGGGCTCTCTCCATAAGTGGTTGACTTTCTGTGTCACGATTTGGCGTCCGATGACGATGCCGACTCATCCAGAACATGCAAGCTGAAAGGGCTGTGTCAACAAAGCGTGTTTGTCTACGCTTCTCACTCTATTGTGTGCACATGTGCCCTTGTGTTTGTGTGTGGTATACAAATTAAGCTGTGAATTACATGATGAAAATTAGGTATATAGGGTTAATATTGTGACATATGTGTGCCAATACTCGTGAGGCAAAGGGTAAGAGAGAAAAGAAACATCGCATGTTAAGAGAAAAACAGTATTAATGTGACAGTGGTGTGGGGAGGCTCTCAACTGCACTACATCAGTAAGCATGTGTTGTCGTGCGCTGTATATCCGCCGGCTGTCGTGTGTCATGGACTCGAGCTGATCATAAGATCTCGCAAGTACGCCTTCCGTGTGTGATTGTATATCTTAGACGCGTTGACGGTGTGACTGTTAAAGTGTCGATGATGTTTATTTAAATAGTTTGTGGGAAGGAAAAGTGTGTGCGAGGTGAGCTGGGATATGAGAATGTATGACGTGTGTAGGTTAGATGACCAATAAAATCTGCAAGGTCTGAGTGACAGCACTGGCAGTGCACACATAGGTCAAGAATGTTTATACAATGTGTGTGTGTTGTAACATACAACATAAATACGATGTAGAATTTTTGAATCTACAATGATAAGGATGGTAATAATGTGTGATAAGGTGCTGGGAGGAGAGCGAGGGGGGGGAGGAGTGTGTGCTACATGTATTGTATTTGACATATGATAGGTATATGGTGATGGTGCAGACAATAGTGTGCTGTACATTGGATCATAAATAGATGCAGCGGCACTCTAAGACACATGGTATGTAATGAATTAAAAGAAGGATACAAAGTGAATTGTGAATATAGGTATGGTACACATAAGGATAATTTAGTTGCTCTATATTCGCTCATAATCATACACACATTGCACATGGTTCAGTACAGCATATACGACTCGTGTATCACTCGGATGGTGGACATAACAGACATAGCTACATCTCATGGACTCTGTGTAGTGTGTATTAAATTTAGTGTGTGGTGAAGAGATAGGATGGCTAGTGATACACGTGAATACACATCAGGTGTAATAATCTAGCGAACAATGTGGTGCAGTCATCGGTGTGAGAGAAATCAGGTGATGTGCATTGTGTGTGTGGTCTAGTGTGTCACAGAGGTGCGCAGGGCGGTGAACTACTAAGTGTGACAGAGTCAGGAGACGCCGGTAGAGTCAAGTGTGTCAGGTGGTTACTCGAGGAAGTTACGGTTGAGTGAGAGGAGAAAATTACAGTGTGAGGTATATAGCTATATTACTTGAGATAGAGGTAGTGATAACATGGTGATGGTGGAGTCTCTAGGTACGTGCTCGGTCATATCAGAGTGAGTGATGACAGTAAGGACGCAGTATGAAGGATCAGGCGGTGAGGTGGAGAGTAGAGGGGTGTTCATATAGGAGTGAGCGGGTGAATAAGTGTGCTGGAAGGACGTGCTCTTAGATCGGTTGTAGGTGGGAGAGGACTTTGGTGGAGTGTGCGTCATGCCGAGCTAATTAGACTGGGACGTCAGTGTTTCGTGCACATATCAGCGAACAGTGTGTGCTCTACAGTGCGGAATGATCTACGTGACTCAGGTTATCATAGTACTGGTAGATATACGTGGCACAGTGGGTGCAATACAACGAGCACAGGATCTCACACAGTGTATGGATACGAGTGAGTATGGTCGGGTGTGGGACCACAGTGAATATACATGTACACACGGAGATAGGAGGAAAAAATAGCGGAAGCGTGAGTGACACAATGAGAACAACAAATATCGATGTCGACGATAGGGAGGGGATGAATCGTAGATCGGTCTTGATTGTATACCGCTCGCGCTGCCCCCCACACCCACCATGCGCCAATTGCCTCCAAAACACCAGACAGCCCCACACACACCACACCACAGTCGGAACAAACACCGGAGAGACAGAGGTGGTCTGGATCCCAAGACGAACCCCTACCCAACAGAGTGTAGACGACCCTACCTATACTATACGACACACAATAATTCGCCACGATCTCCCTCTCCCCCCCCCCACCCCCAACCCAACCCACCCCCACCCCCCAACCCCAAACACAACCCACCCGCACCCCCCCCCCCCCCCCCCCCACCCCCCCCCCCCCCCCCCCCCCCCCACCCCCCCCCCCACCCCCCACCACCCCACCCCCCCCCCCCACACCCCCCCCCCCCCCCCACCCCCCCACCCCCCCCCCCCCCCCCCCCCCCCCCCCCCCCCCCCCCCCACCCCCCCCCCCCCACCCCCACCCCCCCCCCCCCCCACCCCCCCCCCCCCCCCCCCCCCCCCCCCCCCCCCCCCCCCCCCCCCACCCCCCCCCACCCCCCCCCCCCCCCCCCCCCCCCCCACCCCCCCCCCCGCGCACTGCGCCTGTGTGTGTGTGTGTGTGTCTCTTTCTCTCTCCTCCTCTCTCTCCTTACTCTGTATCTTCGCTTAAGTGCTGCGTCTATTTGGGGGGGGGAAGGGTACGGGGGGATGTGTGGGGGGGGGGGGGGGGGGGGGGGGAGGCGGTTCATAAGGCTCAAATATATAACACTCTTGCGTGACATATAAAGCTACTCTCATATGTATCTCCTCTATATGAGTGGTACTCACTATGTCATGGCTGGCGCTACGAGATGGTGGTGTATACCGTGTGTCTCTTCTCAGCCTTGGACTGAGTACTATACTTATACTGCTTGACCAGAAGCTCCGCATTAGAGGTAAGGATGAGTTGAACATCGTAAGGAGGAAGAGAGAGGTGTGAGGACGAGTGTCTGGCAATAGAGTTGAGTATCATTAAAAGATAGGGATATCAAAGAATGGTCAGTGAGAATACGTAGTACGGCATCACAGATGAGTTAGATGCACAGGGTGACAAAGTATTATATTTGTAAAGTAGAGTGAAAATGGGTGACACACGGACTACACAAAGAGATAAGAGGGGTAAAGTGGGGAGGGACACTATATAGGTGGAGGAAATAGTTAGGGAGTGGTATAGAGTAGTAGTGGATGATGTGGGAAAAGCTAGATGGTCACTGAGATGAATTGGCAGGAGTGTATAATACACTGGATCAGTAAGGTTAGTGATGGGAGATCATCATCATCAACAGCAGTGCATTAGCCATTTGAACTGATGCTTCGCTGCCATAGAACCACAACGATCTGCGGATGGAAGAATAACAATGTCCCAAGCGAACACACAAGGTCAAGGCGCTTACACTTTGTCAAGAAAATACCGTCACAAACAACTGGCTATTGTGCAAAGCAGGCATCGGCCAGACAGCTTGCTTGCAGTTTTCACACCACCGCATCAAAATCAGCCATTACTCCGCAGATAATTCAGCACGAAACACAATTTAAACAGTTCGATAAGGAAACGGCAGCAGACGCACCACTGGTGCCGACTGCGAGCTGTCCTAGTACATATAAATTACATAAATGAAGTTTAACCGTCGTTACTTTGCACTACCTTTCTGTACTCTTTCAGCCTACTCGATTCATTTTCCTGCTGAATAAAGCCCATTCATTCGGGCTATACTCATTCTTACTCGACGTGTTTTCCGCCAATTCAGATAACAATTTATTCAGCAAGAAATGGACCGTATCCTCCGACCTGAGCGGATTGATGGTGACCCCAACAATGCAAATGCTACGAAACAATAGACATTTGGTTTGGCCCTTTGGACACCACTGACTCTTCGTCGCTTAACAAATCGGGGATCCTTGCTAATTACATATCCCCTGATGTATATGATTACATTAGGGTGTGGGACCTACGCACCTGCCATTGAAACACTGAGAAATGTTCCAGGTGGCATTTGGTGTACCCGCTGTGTGGTTGGATTGCGACTCGCAATCTCTATTCAGACCTCGGTCCTATTTGAGTAGACCTCGGTCATTACTATCACAAGGACCGTAACCGAATTGGTGGTTAGGTGTTGCTCCTCCCAATCCTGACACCCCATATGGGAGGAATGTATACACCAAACCGAAAAATGAAAGCTTCGCACGCTAACTACCTGCTACCAGCAAACAACAATGCGACGAAACCCTAGACAATTTCCTGCAGAAGTTGAAGTCACTGGCTCAGGAATGCAACTTCAAAACGGTGTTGACAGAAAGGAACCACGAGAACGTCGTTAGTGATGTTTCTATAACTGGGCTGCAGTCCCAAACGATACGTCAATGCCAATTGGAAAACGTGGCACGTGATCTCCAAAATGCTTTTGAACAGGCCCGATCCCTAGAAATGGCTTATCACCAGTCAAAGTCATACCAATCGGAAAACACCTATGGTGCATCTACTACACGCCAACCAGAATCATCGAAAAGAACTTGCGACTCACCCTCTGGTAAGAACGTCACCGCTGCTGTCGCATAACTGTTCTGTGGGTTTAAGAGACATAATCGGTCACAGTGCCCTACTTGGGACGCTGTTTGTAACGGTTGTTGGAATAAAGTACACTACCCGGTCTGCTGTTCTACTGTTAAAAAAACTGCTTCAGCAGCTCCAAGTTTGCTATCACAGTCGCAGCCTCACCAACCAGTCTCTCTCACGCTGTCATCGATGTGCTCATCAAGGACATTCCTCTGAAAGCGCTAGTTGATAGGGGGAGGGTCGAAAGTCATATAGCTGCTTCAGTTGTTAAACAATTCAACTGGAAAGTCCTTGGATCACACTGCAAAATTTCGATGGCCAGTCCCCATCTGACTAGTTTCACGAGTGGTCATTGGGTTGTTACTGTGCAGTTTAAGAACCGCCTTTACACCAACATTAAACTCTTTGTCCTCGCCAATCTATATTCGGATGTACTTCTGGGACACGATTTTTACAAACTAGACGAATTTGTAAAAATTCCATCTGTCGGTGAACAACCTCCCCTCTCTCTGTGTGCGCTATTGTCCGCTGATGTTTGGGAATGACTCTTGCACTTTCAAACCCATCGTTACGAAATCCAGACGTCACACAACCACAGAAGAGAAGTCCATACGACTGGAAGTGAGGAAGCCTTTTAAGAACAGGATTACTGAACAATCTACATCGCCGTGGCGAGCTCAGGTTTTGATAGCTACGAATGACAGCTATAAAAGCCGCATAGTTATAGCTTATAACCAGACTACCAACCAGTATATTCACCTAGACGCATACTAATTGTAAAGCATCGACGCTCTTATGCACAAAATTTCACGCTACTCGGTGTAAGCACCTTGAACCCGAAGAACGCATATTAACAGATACCTTAAGGAAACCGAAAGCAAATTCACAGCATTTGTAGTATGTGGAAATCTGTTCCAATTCTTCCGTATACCTTACGGTGTAGGCAACGGCGTAGCCTGTTTCCAAAGAATTATAGATAAAGTAACGTCTGATGAAGACTTGAAAGCGACTTCGCTTAAATAGATAACATAACAGAGTGTGGAACTACTCATCATCACCACCAACAGCAGTACATCAGCCATTTGAACTGATGCTTCACTGCCATACAACCATGAGGACCGATGAAATAAAGAAGAGGAAGAGGGAGAGAAGGGCGACTTACCTGAAAACCTTAATGCCATAAGCAAACATTCCGGGTCAAGGCGCCTACACCTTGTCTAGACAACATTCCGTCACAAACAGCTGGCTATCGCGCAAAGATAAGGCGGCATCGGCGAAACAGCTTCATTGCGGCTTTCATCATCACCATTATCATCATCATTACACATCAGCTGGAGGTGGAGGTGGAAAACACCTCAGCTATTGTGCCGCAATACAAAAGATAAGAAAAGGAAAACAAACGGTGGTACGCCTACTGAGTCCCCAGTAACGGATGGACATCATTCCGGAGAGTTAACAGCTGGGTGCCGTAAAAGAGTCATATTATACCTATCAGGTGAGATCATGATTGGAGGGGGATGCTAAGTAGGAGGGGGATGGACAAAGGAACTCACAACACAAACGCCATTGGGGCCGGCTCCAAGCCATATCAGCGAGTGTGTCCAACCAACCGTGTTCACCATCCTTAGGACATTGCGGCTTTCACTGCCACGCGTCATAATCAGCCATTACCCTGCAGATAACTCAGAACCAAACACATTTTAAACAGACAATCCGATTAGAAGACGGCAGCAGACGCGCCACTGGTGTCTACTGCGAGCCATGTCCTGTAAAGTCTCGAGCCAAGCACAACGCGAGTCACGTGGAATCCAACCCGGAAGGCGAGACGGACCAACGGCCAATAGTTTGGTAGTCAGCGTCTTCATTTCCCGTTGCCAAGTCAACTTCTGTCCACCGAGAGACTTGCGCCATCATACACCTGGCAGACTGAACAAGGCCCACCTCGGTAAGCGGTGACCAGGCATGCGCAGCACGTGCCCGAGCCAACGCAACTTATTCAGTGCTATCTGCTGTTCTAGGGAGCTAGCATGATTCTCACCACCTAGTACTCGCCTACGCACATCACCGTTGCGGACAAGCTGGTGCCATCCGACTCCAGCAATGCTTCACAGACAACAATGATCAAAGACTTGAAGGCGTCTCAGATCTTCAGACCGAAGGGGCCAAGTCTCACTACCATAGATCAGAACGGCCCTCACTGTGGCCTTGTATACAGGGCCATTCAGACGAAGGGAAACTCCCTTCTGCCGCCAAAGATGACACAGGTTCATGAAGGTAGCTCTGGCCTCTGCAATGCGTGAGATGACGTCAGTTCCCATGTGCTCATCATTGCTGATGCAGCTGCCAAATGAATTGACCAACCACCTCAAGATCCTCGTTAGCAAGCATCAAGGGGTCATCAAGTGCCTGGCGGTCCTGCAGCAACACTTTGCACTTTGTAGGTGCAAAATGCATACAAAATAATGGGACCACTCTAGACAAGCTATTCAGGGTTGATTGTGCCGCCCCAATATTGTCGAAAAGCAAGACGATATCGTCCGCATAATCCAGATCAACTAAGCTTTCATCAGGCAGCACTTCAACGCCTACATCATAAAATGCCACAAGGAAACACTCCATGATAGAATCCACGACGAAATGAAACAAAAACGGGAAATCGGACAACCCTGACGAACGCCACTTGTGGTTGGAAAGCTATCCGATAGGACACCGTAAACCCTGACGCGGCCTGTAGTGTTGGAGTATAAAGCACGAAGGATGTTCACATATTTAGTGGGAACACATTTCCGCACAAGTATTTCGAACAAAAGCGATCGATCGACTGAATCGAACGCACTCTTGAAATCGAGGAACACAGCTATTGTCGGTCTGTGGTATGCGTGGCGCTGCTCCAACACCTGCCGCAAAGTGAATATATGGTCTATACAGCCACGTCCTGGGAGGACACCGACTTGCTCTTCCCTAATCCGAGATTCCAGTTCCGCAGTGAGGCGACGAACGATAATCGAGGCTAGTAATTTTGTCACAACTGGCGTTAGGCTAATACCCCTGTGGTTAAAACAGTCTGTGCGACTGCCCTTCTTGTATATTGCCACTTTAATCGATTCGCTCCAATTAGCCGGCACACCCTTCCAAATACGTTCGAATACGGAGGTCAGTGCCCTGCAGAGCACCTCACCTCCATCCTTAAATAGTGCAGGTGGGAGGGAATGCAGGCCAGCGGCACGAAAACGATTAAGGGCTGTGATCGCGTTTCGGACCTCGGCATCCGACGGAAGCTCTAAACTAACCGTCCATGGCACGTCCTGCTTCACCTGGGTAGGAAGAGGTCCGGGAGCAGGGGGCCATCTGAACTGATCTTGAAAGCGTTCCACCCAAAGAACAATACGGAGCACCTTATTGTGTATCGGTGCACCTGC